GTGTCTAACCTCACTCAAAGCTGCTGCATCCCTGCAGTCACAGGTACAAGAATGTGTGACCTCACTCAGAAATGTTGCATTTCCCGTGTCAGCCTTAGCTTGCTGGCTAACTTGCCCCTTTATCTGCTCAGACTGTCTCACCATCTCCACAGCTTTCTCCAATGTGAGGTCGGCTTTTAACTGTAGTTTCTCTGACATGTCTTTATCCAGGATCCCAACCACTAACTTGTCGTGAATGTTTACAATCTTCGCCGGACCAAACTGACAGGTCTCGGCCAGTTCATAGGGTGTACGTATGTATTCCTCCGCAAACTCACCCTTCTTTTGCGATCGGAGGTAAAACCGTGCTCATTCATGGATGACGTTAACTTTTGGAATGAAGTAATTATTTAGCTTTTCCAATACCGTGTCGCAGTCCTCCTCATCCTCCTCCTCAATGAACCGCAGTGTTAACACTTGTTTCGCTTCCTTGCCAAGCGCGTAGTGTGCTAACCTGCACAGCTCCAGCCTCGAGGTTTAGCTTAGTTGCTAGCCGGTAACACTGGAACCGCTGCCTCCACTCCGGCCACTGCTCCGGGTGGGTGAAGTCAAAGTTCTTGGGAGGGTTAAACTTGGCCATATTCACCGCTTAACTTCTGACACCATGTTCTAAGTACAACCAACGCAATAAATGACTCAACGTCCTTCAACTCGAGAGGTGCTGTGTTTATTTCTCAGCCCGCCGAAGTCCCTTCAAAACTCCTCCCACTTCAGGCAAGTCTTAAAGGCATACACACTGTATCTATTCACATGACAGCCTTTATGTGGTACTACAGGGCTGAGCGTTGGAGTCATAGCCTGAGACCAAACCCGAACCAAATCAGCCCGAACGGTTCTGTTGGATTTGGGCCGTGAATTATGTTAATTGAGCGGGTTGCCGCGTGGCACACTCCGCTCGCTCGATCAGCGACTGAGGGAGAGAGACAGAGAGAGAGGGAGATTGTGTGCTCACACAAGAGAGAGGATCGGAGGATGCTCCTCCAAACATGCGTTATTATTTTCATAAGTTCATTATTGTTTCTCCTGGAAGTGCTCAGTCAGACTGAATGCTGAGATGTCGGGAGATCTGGTCTAGGGGAGGGAGCGGGGTGAGTGACGGCGGCTGCAGCGTAACCTGTCTCCTATTTAGGGACTTGGAGAAGTTAAAAGGAGAGAGAAATAGAAGATAGAAGTTCTTGTTCCACTTTATTCTTTTGTTTCATGATGATAAACTGATGTTAAATTCAGCTAAAGAGAAACTGGGAGGAAGCCTTGGTTCATTTTACGTTACAGGAGATTTTTTTTCCTATCTGCTCCTCCAGAGACAGCATGGACATGAGGGTTACATGGTGAGGGTCCCGCAGGACAGGTCAGTGCAGTCACACAGCCCGAGCTGGAGGGGAACAGGCGCTGTTCTTCTTTATATTGCAAGCTTGTGTGTTATGTGTATTACAGCGATCCAAACAGCAGCAGCAGCAGCAACAATCCCCCCCGGCCCTCTTCCTTCTGGGTCTTTTTTGTGAGTGGCCCTCGGACCATTATAATTGAGGACCCCAGTTGTAGGCCGAAGGGTTAAATTATCCGTAATTTAAACCAAAAATTCTGGTACCGACCAGACCAGCTGACATAGCTAAGCTCAGTAGCATTGCTAACGTTGAGCACGTGAAGATAACACCACTGAAGCTTCTTCAGGGGGTTTATCAACAATCCGCCGCAGCGCGTCTGCGTTTCTACTCAAAATCCCTTCGGGGTAGTTTTGACTAATCAAACCACCGCGTTTGTGCAACTAACTTAAAAGATCGCTATAATCGTTTGTCCCAATCTTTTATTTTGTTGAGTTCGTAATAGGAAGTGAGGCAATCGTCTCTTCTTCTCTGACCAAATTCCTTCCAAACAACCCATACCGCCACCTGCTGGTGTGTTTTAATCCAGCTACTGCATCAAAACCTTCATTATCCAGTTTTCCATTCTATTTTATCACAAAGTTAAGGTTTTGTGGCATCCTCAGGATGGCTGCAGACAGAGACAAATTATCAATAGATTTTCTCACTAACATGATACTGGACAAACAACAGCAGCTTTCCAATTTAAACCAAAATTTTCTACATTTAAATAAAAGAGCCCAAGCGTTGGAGACAGCCTCCTGTCCTGGGCATGTTTTCCCACCCACATCAGCTGATTCCCTTTCAGATTTGGAACAAAACTGCAACCAGATGACATGCTCCTTGACTGGTTTCCAGAATGCAGAGCCAATGTCTGCTCCTGATGACTGATAACTGATTCACCTGCCTCTCACTGTGATACGGCGCCCCCTTGGGACAACTCTTGTTGCAGGGGAGGGCTGGAAAGCCTTGTGGACTACTAAGGTACAGACGCTGGAAAAGTAGGGGCAGGTTGAAACAGATTGAAAGCAGTGGAGAGACTCTTCTGGAGCTGGAAGTGCCTGAGACAGTGAGACAGCGTGGATGAGGAGCAGCTTGTTAAATAAATTGTGTAAACGTACAACCTGTGGTCTGAGTGCGTGTGTGTGTGTGTGTGTGTGTGTGTGTGTGTGTGTGTGTGTGTGTGTGTGTGTGTGTGTGTGTGCGTGTGTGTGTGTGTGTGTGTGTGTGTGTGTGTGTGTGTGTGTATACATGACAAATCTTCATATGGTTGAGTTACTTGTAGAGTACCACAGGGTTCAGTGCTTGGACCAATTCTTTTTACTATAAATAAACTTCCAATTGGTAAAATCATTAGACAGCATGGGATAAACTTCCACTGTTATGCAGAACGATACTCAGTTATTGTATGTTTATCCATTAACCCTGATGAACCTAATCGGTTAGGTAGATTACAGGCTTGTCTTGAAGACAAAAAATTGGATGACAACAAACTTTCCGCTTTTAAATCAAGACAAGACTGAAGTTCTCATCTTTGCACCCAAAATTCAGAAAAGGAAACTGCTTAGTCAATCACCTGACCTGAATGGCATTAAATTAATCTCCGAGAACAAAGTAAGGAGCCTTGGTGTTATCTTTGACCAGGACATGTCATTCAAATCCCAGGTTAAACAGGTTTGTAGGATTTTCTTTTTCCAACTTCAGACTACTGCTAAGATTAGAAGCATCCTTTCCAGGAGTGATGCTGTAAAACTAGTTCATGCATTTATTACATCAAGACTGAATTACTGTAATTCATTACAGTAATTCAGTCTTGATGTAATGACTACAGAATGTAGTTAAAAGTCTTCAGCTTGTGCAAAATGCTGCAGCTAGAGTTCTGATGAGAATTAAAAAGAGAGATCATATCTCTCCTGTCTTAGCTTCCCTACAATGGCTGCCTGTTAAACTCAGAATAGATTTCGAGATCCACCTGCTCAAATATAAAACTCTTAATAATCAAGCTCCATCAAACATCAGTGATCTAATTGTTCCATACATTCCTAACCGAGCACTTCGCTCTCAGACTGCAGGTCTACTGGTTGTTCCCAGAAGATCTAAAAATAGGATGGGTGGCAGATCTTTTAGTTATCAGGCTCCTCTCCTGTGGAACCAGCTCCCAGCTTTAGTCCGTGAGGCAGACACCTTGTCTACTTTTAAGACTAGGCTTAAAACATTTTTTTGATAGGGCCTATGGTTAAAATCTGATGTTAGCCCAGATCTGGACAAGTGGGGGAGTAGAGGGAGGTGGAGTGTACAGTCGGTAAAGACGGCTCTCCCTTGCCCTGACTCCAACATGCCTCCATCTAAAACGGCTAGGTTATCCTGAGTTATCTATGCTGCTATAGGCTTAGACTGCTTGAGGATACACTGACCATTTTTCACACTCTACTACTTTCTTCTACAATCTGCTCTTTAACTGTATTATTTCCTGCTATTTCAGCTGTTAACTTTATTTTCCCTTTAAGTGTTTTTCTCCCCATAAGAAGCTACAATGATGAGTGTTGGTGTGTGCGCGCATGTGTGCGTGTGTGTGTGTGCCTGCTCTGTCTTCTCCATCCCCAGTGAGTTGTTGTGGATGGCTGCTTATACTGAGCCAGGATCCTGGAGTTTTTTTCCTGTTAAAAGGGAGTTTTCCTCTCCACTGTCGCTAAATGCTTGCTTAGTATGAGGATTGCTGTAAAGACACTGACACTAGTCAGTGACTTGATGCAATTTGCTGGGTTCCTTATATAAGAAACTTTTTCCTGATTGGCATAATGAACTGAATTGTATTGGAATGTTTACTGTGTGAGGTGCCTTTGAGATGACTTGTCATGATTTGGCGCTTTATAAATAAACTTGAATTGAATTGGGGGGTTGTAATTGTTTTGGTGATTATTTCTTCATTATTAATATTATTATTATAATTATTAATATTAATAAGTAAAGATTTTTTTTACTTTCATTAAATGTATGGCTGCCTTCTGCCACATTTTGTTTTGTTTAAGGGGACATCATTGAAACAAGATGGGGCATCTCATTGGGTTACTCCTCCTTAAATAAAAGTCAAATAAATGTAACTGGAATTTCATTAGTAGAAACTCCCATAAAGTTTTTATGAAGATGTTTCAATCCCAAAGGAAGAATAGGACATATTGACAATCAAACATTTTTAAGAATTATTTAAAACATTTCTTATAACCTTTTTTTCTCAATTTCATGCTAAATCTTGCACAATTCCCCATTTTCAGCTGGGGGTAGCAGAGTGCTCACCTTGAAGCGAATGTCTCCTTTCTTGCAGCAGATGCAGGCCAGCATGAGGAAGACAAAGGTGAAAAGGCCAGAGAAGGAGACGACTACAACTGCTAATGAAGATGGCCAAGACAACTCGCTTAGTGGAGCACTGTCTGCAACAACAGAGAGTGGTGTAGGGTTAAATGGGGTTAAGTCCTCGAAATAGGATGGGATTGGATTGAATGCGGAATCAATGTGGTCCAGTTTTTTCATGTGACTTCATTCACACTGACTTTGATTTATTTAAAGCTGCTATACTTCATTTGCATAACAAATTAGCTGAACATATTTCTTTCATGCCCATTAAAAACGTTTTAACACAGCATGGAGAAAAATAATTTGTGAAGAATGAAAAAAAAACGAAAAAAAAAACCCAACCAAAAACAATTAAGTGGTTCCGCCGCATTTGTCTAAAAACATCAACCAATAACATGGTCAAAGTCAAAGTCAGTTTTATTGTCAATTCTGCCACATGTACAGGACATACAGAGAAATGAAATTACGTTACTCTCAAACTCTCACTAGATAGAAAAATAGACATTTAGTATAAGAAGAGTAACCAAGTTCAGAGAGACTGTGGGGGAAAAGAGAAGAGAGGGGGAGAGCCGGGAGGGAGTTTAGCTTCCTAACTGCCTGATGGATAAAGCTGCCCTTGAGTCTGTTGGTCCCGGCCTTGAGACTCCGCAGCTCGAAGAGGCTTTGCATTGGGTGAGTGAGATCAGCCGCAATGCGAAGGGCCTTTTTTGTGAGGCGGGTGCTGTAAATGTCTTGTAGGGAGGGGAGAGAGACCCCAATGATCTTCTCTACTGCTCTCACTATACGTTGGAGGGTTTTAAGGCAGGAAACGTTGCGGGCTCCGAACCACACAGTGATGCCGCACGACAGGATGCTCTCGATGGTGCCTCTGTAAAAAGTGTACAGGATGGGGGCTGGTGCTCTTGCTCTTCTTAGTTTGCGGAGGAAGAAGAGACGCTGCTGTGATTTCCTAGCCAGTGCTATGGTGATGTTCGTCCAGGAGAGATCCTCTGTAATGTGCACACCCAGGAACTTGGTGCTGCTCACTCTCTCCACAGACACACCGTCGATGGTCAGAGGAGCATGCTGAGTGTGCGCTCTCCTAAAGTCCACAACAATCTCCTTGGTCTTCTCCACATTTAGAGAGAGGTTGTTGTCAGCACACCATGTGGTAAGGCGGCTCACCTCGTTCTTATAGTCGGTCTCATCCCTGTGGTTTATGAGACCCACCACTGTTGTGTCATCCGCAAACTTGATGAAGAGGTTAGAGCTGTGTAATGGTGTACAGTCATGGGTCAGCAGAGTGAAGAGGAGGGGGCTCAGCACACATCCCTGAGGGGCCCCGGTGTTTGAAATGATGGTGCTGGATGTGTTTCTGCCGACCCGTACTGCTTGTGGTCCTCCATTGAGGAAGTCCAACAGCCAGTTACACAGTGAGGTGTTGAGACCCAGCTTGACCAGTTTTTGAGTAAGCTGTTGGGGGATGATGGTGCTGAACTAAAGTCTATGAACAGCATCCGGACATATGAGTCTTTTTTGTCCAGATGTGTGAGTGCTGAGTGGAGTGCAGCGGAGATGGCGTCATCGGTCGAGCGGTTGGGCCGGTATGCAAACTGGAAGGGGTCCAGGCAGGGGGGCAGAACAGACTTGATGTGTTGCATGACCAACCGTTCGAAGCACTTCATAAGGATGGGAGTAAGTGCAACAGGACGGTAGTCATTAAAGCAGGAGGGAGATGATGTTTTTGGGACCGGAATAATTGATGTGGCTTTAAAGCACGTGGGGACGACAGCCTGGATAAGTGATGTGTTGAAGATGTCTGTGAAGACATCAGTTAGTTCCACTGCACAGTCTCTCAGTGCCCGGCCAGGAATATTATCAGGACCCAGAGCTTTACGTGCATTGATCCTGCTAAGGGATCTCCTTACGCTGTCTGGGGACAGAGTCATCAACTGGTCACCAGGAGGAGGTGGAATCTTCTGTGCTGTGGTACTGTTTTGCACTTCAAAGCAAGCAAAAAAGGTGTTCAGCTCGTTCAGCAGGGAGATGGTGCTATCACAGGTCTGTGGAGGGGGCTTGTAATCTATGATGGTCTGAATGCCCCGCCACAAGCTTCGTGTGTCTCTGCTGTCTTTGAAGTGTTGGGATATTGTCCTGGAGTACTGTCTCTTAGCCTCTCTGATACCACGGGAAAGGTTGGCCCTAGCTGTCCTCAGGCTCATCTCGTCTCCTTTCCTGAACGCAATATCCTGCTCCTTCAGCAGCCTGTGGACCTCTCCTGTCATCCATGGTTTTTGATTTGCAAAAATCAAAAACCATTCGTGGTCCGGCGCGAAACCAATGACTGGATAGTCTCTCCAGCCATACGGACTTCCGCATTTATTCTGCCTCTGTGCTCCTGATAAACTGGGACATATTGCAACACACCACTGCTGGGAGCATTTGCAGATTTAGAATGTCACAGCAGGAAAAACAGCTGCCGGCTGGTTCCACGTCAGGTTCAGGGCCAAGTTCCAAACTTGGAAAAAGAAAAAACCCATTTGAGGTTTTAGAAAACAAACAACGTTTGGACATAGAAAGAGGGAAAAACCAGAGTAAACATTGGTGTTGAGTTTCAGCGATGGCAAAAACTACGTGAGTTGGAGAGACTGAAAACCGATGCTATGGTGGCTACTTTGTTGTTGGACAGGGATTTATGTCTTCTTCTCATCAACACTTATCATCATGAAGTCCTTGTTCATTTGTTAGGTACAATCCTCAAACTTGATGGGGTTTTTTTGCACGACTGTCTGCTCTTTATATAATGTTAGCCTGATTAGCACTGAATGTTAATGCTACATTAGCACATTTCGGTACGTAATGTACCGCTTAGTATGATTTCTAGAAGGTTCAACTTCTGGCAAACAGATCGTCACTGTAATTGTATGATACCATGTCAGTTTCTTTTTATGTAACAATTGTCAGATCGATCGGAGAACAGTTGTGTTGAAATCGTGGAATCCGCTTTGTTTTATTATACCACGGTCTGGTGTCTAAATGCACAAATTCTTTTGAGCAGTCCCGAAAGAATATAAAAATCAGGCAATTCAATGACAAAAGTAACAGGACAACTCTTCTAAAGTTTTGACAGTCAGAAGGCCAACGTATTACACTTTTTTTTCCTGGCTGTTCTTTGAGATTATAGTTAAAGTTGTTAGAACACCCCCCCCCCCTTTTTTTTTAAACATATCTGTCCGTCTGCTTCAGTCTCCCTTACTCTTACTCCCATACTTTATCCTTTCATTCAGTAAAATATATCCTCCACAATAAGTTGTGATGTTTTTTTTATTTTCATAAATAAATATCAGAGGTATCAGCAGAAAGTCTGGTTGTATTATATACGATTAATAATAAAGTTTTTACACATCTGGAGTGAAGACTGACGGGAAAAAAATAGTAATGACAGAAACAAATGGACAACAGATCCTGCAGTCATGCTTAAAATCCAAACTTACAGAGAACCCTGTTCATATTGACATGTTTTATTTAAAAATAAATACACAATGAAGTACATAGGGTACTATTTGGCGTAAAAACTTGACGTCATAAGGGTTAAGAGCCTGTTATTTAAAAATCATTATTAATTGTCTAAAGTATAAGACTCCGAATAATGATATTGTTCAATTCACAGCGTGGAAAACTTCGGTATCCCTGGAGTTGAGGAGATGGACCTTCAGAGCTGTACTTTGTCTGCAGTCACCAACATTGAAGGAAGGTATCACATATATTGACTGACATAATGTAAGCTTTTTGTTCTTAATGTCAGTGTTATATATTTTAAATTGTGTGCATTTGTGCTTATTTTTTCTTTGAAAAGTTGATACGATGCAGGAGGAGGTCAATATAGCTGAATTCAAAGACCTTAAAAACTCCATGTAAGTCATATAGAAAGTAGCAGTTTATCTTATTAGCTTTAGGAAATTCTACATTCATTATCTGTTTTTTTGTCTTTGCTTTTTACAATTGTAAGAATTGACTGGGATGAAGAAACGTGGCACCCCGGGCTTGAGAGTGACCCTGAGTCATCTTACGAAGAAGATAAAACCAATGAAGTGGAACCTGAAAACAGTGACAGTGAGGATGAAGATTTTGAACCACCAATTTGTGTGCGGTATGTAATGTATATCACCCTAAAAATTTAATTAAAGATAGTAAATATTATTAATTTTGTGGGCACTCTGTTAGGAATGGAGCTAATCTCAAAACCAAAATTGAGATGCATCAAATTCCAACAATCAGCCTTGAGGACACAGTGCATGACATTTTGGAGAATCAAGAGGAGTCGCCACACATAGAAATTTCTGCTGTCCCTGAACCACTAAAGGTTGAAGTTGAAGATCTGATTGGACATTCAGCCTCAATAACTTACCAAAGTAGTCTAAAACAACTGGTTGACTATCTAATTCTACCCGTGAGTCACTGCCTTGCCAAGAACCATCAAACAAAAAAAGAGTGCATGGCATCAAAACCATTTGACATCCAGATCAACTCCAGAGGCGAAGCTTTTGTTATCGAATGGGTGAGCATATCCTTATTCTACAACTCATTGAGAAACATTATGCAATATTTTTAATAGAGTACCTCTGTCTTTTATTTTTCTCTTACATTTTCAGTTATGTCCTAACGGCCACACCGTTTGGAAGTGGACTTCTCAGCTAACATTACAATATGGATTGTTGGCAGGGGATTTTATGTTGGCTTGCAACATCTGTCTGCAAACAACTTCGCCAAGATGGCCCTACTTTTGAAGTTCACGAATATAGGAATGGTTGGTCCTAACAATTTCTTAAAGATTCAAGATGCATATTGTGTGGATGCCATTAAAGACTTCTGGGAAGGGGGGGGGGGGGTTGTCATTCGATAACTTCAAACCAAAGAACCTGTCGTAATCCTTGGTAAGCTTTTAATAATTGTGCTACATTTTAAAATTTGAACAGATTTGAAACAAAATGTGGTTTTGGAAGTGTGATCTAAATACAGTGGAATTGCAGTTCTTTGGTTTGATTTCCTCATTGTTGTTGCTCTACAGACCCCTCATCTACCCCTGTTCTGAGGAGAATGAGCCATTTTTGGGTACTGTCTCTTTAAATCTGGAGAAGGAGCTGCTAACTCCACCCCCCTCCACAGAGCAGACCTACTCTCCTCCCCCAGTCGGACTTTGTAGTTCTATAAAGAAATCACGATTTAGCGTAGCAGAAAAGTTTATTAGCATTTTTAAAACATATGGTGAGAGTTGTCCATCAAGCTGTTTCAGGGCTGCCTGAAATATACAGGTGGCTCAGGGGTTAGGCATTTGTCCTGTAATCAGTGGGTTGCTGGTTCAAACCCAGGTTCCTGCAACCATGTCAGTCTTTGTGTCCTCGGGCAAGACACTTCACTTCCCTTTCCTGCTGGTGGTTAGAGGGACTGGTGGCATCTGTGTTCAGCAGCCTCATTTCTGTCAGTGTGCCTCAGAACAGCTGTGGCTACAATGTAGCTCATCACCACCAGGGTGTGAATGGATGAAGGATTAATTCCAGTGTTGAGCGCTTAAATTGGTGACCTGAGTCAGAGAAGTGCTATGCAAGTGCAGCTCATTTATCATTAAGATCTTAATTAAAATAAAGGGGACTGAAAGAACATAACCCATTTACCACATTTACACGTGCTCAAAGTTGTTCATGACATCTTTACATGAGCTAAAACCCCTAAAAGAGGAGTGCTAGTTAGAACTTTTATCTGGAGCACAAGAGGTGAGTTTGTCACTGTGGTGCTGCCTTGTCTTCAGAACCACAGACTAACATCAAGTCTGACGGCCGAGGCATTCAGCTTGAAAGCTACACATCTGCGTTTAGCCTGGTCCTTCTGGCAACTTCTCTCCAGCATCATCTTGTTCAGGCCAGGCTCGTCATCCACCAATCACAGCCTCCTGTAAAATAACAAAGACAAATTTATTTAACATATTTACATCAGTAATTTCCAAAAGTTGAACTGAACAACATTAGGACTACCTTGGTAATGTGGATGGGAGGGGCACACACAGAGTCTCTCTGAGGTGTGTGTGTGTGTGTGTGTGTGTGTGTGTGTGTGTGTGTGTGTGTGTGTGTGTGTGTGTGTGTGTGTGTGTGTGTGTGTGTGTGTGTGTGTGTGTGTGTGTGTGTGTGTGTGTGTGTGTGATATGAATGGCAGCATACAAGTGAGATGTAAACATGTCCAGGACCAGTATTATATGATGTTTAAATGCTCACATCATCAGGCTGAGGCTGGAGTCTCTGGGGCATCAGGAGGTCACAGACAGGCTCACTTGAGCTCCTCTGGAGGTGGATGAAGAAGTGTGCTTTTCTGGCTAAAATGAAGAAGCATAACATTTGAAAATAATTTAATGTTCATAGTACACAACTGTGGCTGTCAGTAGAGATGAGGGGTGCAACCAGATGTGATCATTATTTAGTTTACTGGAATAAATAAAAACAAAAAAAGTTTTGAGACATGAGATAAAGACACTTTATGCAGTGATAAGTATTACACACTGCCCTGTGATTGACAGAGGCATATTTACATGTACAATGTTGATGGCCTTACATTAAATTTCATTTCTTGAACCTGAATGAACTCCTGAGAGGCAGAACCCAAAAACGGTCCTCTTCAGCCTGTTAGCATGGCAGCTAGTTAGCTCTCCAGTCAGAGGGGTCTGATACATGAGAAATGTCTAATATCAGGAATATTTATTTTATTTCAGTAGCAGTACTCTTGTATCAGCTGTAATCTAAGTCAGTGTTTTGGAATAAATTATTAATAAAGTCTGTTGGCCTTCAAAGTCAGGAGACCACCGGCAGCAAACATGAAGCTAACGTTAGCTGGCTAAGACGTGCTGGTGGACACTTATGGAGCTAGGATTGGGACAATATTCAGCGTAACTTGTACCAAGTTTTGTAACTTCGAACATGTTTTATCACATGTAACTTTGGATTCGTAACTTGTAACTTTAGTTTTCTAACTTGTAATTCTCAATTTGTACTTGTATTTCTTGTTTTGTAACAGGAACATTGCATTTTGTACATGTATTTTTTATTTTGTAAAATCAAACTTTTATTTTGTACATTTACTCATTTTGTAACATCAAACATTCATTCAGAAACATGAAACTTTCGTTTTGTAACTAGCAGACTTCCAAATTGAAAAAATCAAGGTACAAGTTTGAAATCAAGACTCTCAAAACACACATTTCATTCTACAGGTACAAACCTCAAATCTACAGTTACGGATCTTTTTGTCTCGATTATAGCATCAGTGGGAGGAACTTGGGTGGAACCAATGAGAGCACGAGTCTTAGCTACCAATCACGTTTCTCGAATTCCTGTCCAATCATTGGGAGAGGAGGGCAGGGTTCTGTCAGAGCTGTAGAAAGAGAGAGCTGCGACACTCTTTGAACTCGCCAACTCGCGGTCACGTGGTTCATGGAGCTCTCAGTTCCAAACATCCCACAGCGCCGTAAGTCAGTTTGAACGGCGTATGGTGGGACAAATCACAAAAATTTAATATAATCACATGTCCCCTGGCGATTTGTGGTAATTATTGAATAATATTATATATTATATTATATATTATGTCCTAACTCCTTCACAAAGTAGCCAATTTATATTTTTCCGAGCATTTGTAGGAAGACAAACACCCGTGACTGTTCTACAGTACAGGAACACGACAGTCCGAACACACTGTAGAACACATTTAGACCACATACATTACTATAATATACTATAGCAATAAATTTGATGTAGTAATGCAACACACTGCTCTAATATAAGCATATTTAATAACTTTAAGTCCTACAAGAAGCCCTAAACTCGAGTTGTAATATCCATTTTAAAGTGTTTATTGAAAGCTAGAATTCTGCTCCAGCTTATCTTGAAGAAAATACGTAGCTGTTTATGCTTTGAATGATGATCTATTATGTTCAGTAGAATACATTTTACAGTCATTACTTTATATTTTTATGTGAAGACAGTACATCCATCTATAACCCAGTTTATCTGGCTTCTATAGCAACTAATTAAATAAAACTGTATGGTTCATCACAGTAGATAAAAAAGTGCTGTGAAAAAATGAATCCCAAACTTGTACAACGTGTATAATAGCATTTTTAATAAAGCATGTTACCAACATCATGTTTAGTCATTATATATGCGCAAATAAGCTGAATCATTAATTATGAGCAATGTACTCAAGACCTAATGAAACTTTTGAATAATTTTATTTTGATTATTATTAAAATAAAATGTGTCCGTGGGTTAAAATTTGAAATGACTAATTTTAGGGTTGGGTACAATTTTAAAATGTAATTTTACATCTCTATATTTTTGGTTTAGTTCAATATTTCTATATGTACAAAAATAGTATTTCAATAATCCCTTTCTAGGTTGAATATCTTACATGGTGGGCTGCGCTGCATATAGCAAACGGTCTGAGGGAGGAATCAGAATTATGGCTTACCCAAAGATGCAGAGAAGAAGAAAATGGTTGGCTCAAGTCAGCAGGAGCAACCTCACCATAGCCAGAGATCACAATAACAAAAAGCTGTGTGCAGTGAGTTTAATGTGCTCTCTCAAATGTTTTCTATCAAGGCTCTACATGCCCTGCTCTCAACTGCACAAGGCTGCAATTAACCTGTTAAATGTGGCAGGAAATAAACTAATACACCACTCTACAGGCACAATTTGAGGAGGGACAGTTTGCTAAGCTTAGGCAAGGCAAGGTGAGACTCAGGGCTGATGCTATGTTTGTTCATCACCCTGAACCAAGGAGGAGGAAGTGTGGCTGCCGTCAGCCACAGTCATGCGGTTTTGAGATAATTTATGGTTCAAGTTACGATAAACAAGCTAAGAATACTTTATTTTTAATAAATCAGATTAATGTATACGTTATGGGGTTTAAAAGCACACATTTAAATGGTTTACAGAATGTTTTCCAGGGTGGAACCAATGTTTAGTTTGTTGTTTCGGGATTGACAATATTTTCAGTTGCACGCCACATTTGATAGGCGGCAGCATGCTAACCCCTATCATTTGTTGATAGAGCTATGCAGACGCATGCAACGACGTTTTCCAGCTGTGGAAAGGAGTGACACTGCAAGATGTGTTTTTTTATTAACCCCTGCAAGTTAATGCGGACAATGAGGTATGCAATGTGTGTTTATGTCGTGATGGGAAAATAAGATGTTTGTTTGTGACAGAACTGTCGAGTTTATGGTGGTCACGGGTAATTTGTAAATGTAAATTATGAGTGTTTTATCTTGTGTATTAGTGCTTCATTGTTTATTCTCTATGAGAACGATTTATTGTGGAAATTGATTATTCTATGTCGTTTGTACAGTTCTCACGGCACCGTTGGTGGCACCTGTGTGCAATAAATGCCAGTTAAAATTCAAGAACGCCTTGTGTCCGTTTTCAACTTGGAGGGAGTTACAGGAAGGATCCCGCAGTGAGAAGTATAGCAGAACCACTGCACGTTGATCCACTGACCAGTGACCACACATGCTGTACTCCAGTAAACTGTGGTACAAATCTTTTGAAATATTAAGACATTTTTATTTATTTTATTTTAAAATTATTCTTTATTCTAACAGTGCCATTATAATTTCAGAGAATGAGGAAAGCAGCAGCAGCAGTGAGGCAAATGAGATGAGGGAAAGTGAGGGGGACATGAGATGGTATCAGGAGAGAGGGACATCCCAGGAAGCCACGAGGAGTCAGCGTCAGGGCTAGGAGGAGAGAACAGGCTATGCAACCAGGGAACCCAGCTGGAAAAACTAAGAGAGGAAACAGAAAATAA